GGCAAAAGGGGGTCCAACCCGTTACTAGCGTGGTGTACCTAATAAAGTGGCCGGTGAGTGTAGAGTTCAGTTTGTGACAGAGTTCCTGTCCTCTCGTCAGGCCTGTCCGAGGCAGTAAATCTTGTTTCTTCACTCGAGGTGACCCCTACAACAGCTTATTATTATGTCCCATGTAGACTGTTAGAAGTCAACATTTATAAAAGTAGATTTCTTGCAGACCATGCTTTTTTAAATCACAGTGTTAACCTTTGAACAAGTACAAATACCTGTAAAAATGTTTGTATTAAGCCCGATACCAGTATCGGTTAGGGTTGGGCAATATAGGCAAAAAATTAATCACGATTAACRGTGGTATTTACCCAATAACGATTAATTTGACAATAAATCCCCTGGAGTCCCTGGACAACCTTATGTCCTGGTCACATGACCAATTTAGTGGGAAAGATTTGCTCTTCGTAAAAATCCAAATTGTGTCAAAATTACAGACTCCAGGATTTACATCAATTTTTAAATTGTGTTAAGTAAATTACAGAACGTTTAAAAAAAATGTTCGTCATATTTGAAGCTGAGAGTTGTCATGTGCCAAAAAATTATCGATTAAAGCTTTTCTGGCGATTAATTGCACACGATACGATTATGCTCAACCCTGGTATCGGTGCATCCCTACTGTACAATATATAAAAAAGACAGACTTGTTAAAAAAGCTTAAAGTGAGACCATTTCAGATTGTCTTCAGTTCAGTGAATAGGTTTATTCAAAAACATTGATTTGAATTTAAAGTAGCCGTGCAGGAAGGTACTCAAGGTGTGGTTTTGTCCTAAAACGTCAGCTTGTACTCAAATAATTTTTGCTTTGAATAATTCATCCGTTCATTTTCTTTACCTGCTTGTTCTTCCTGGTCACGTGGCTCTGGCTCTTCTTTCCAGCACTTACTGTGCAAGATGCAGGGGACACCCTGGATGGGTCTCCAGTCTATCAAAAGGACACATAAAGACAAGCAAGACAATCAGTTTAAAGTTAACAGTTAATCTAACATGCATTATTTTAGTCTGTGGGAGGAAACCCAGGAATACACAGGAAGAAGCTGCTGTGTCGCCCCTTTTATAAAAGATAATTTTGCAGAAAATTTCACACAAATGTGCAACACACACCATGTGTTGCATTGAAAAGCAAGAAGAGCTTGACCCAGCGTGCAGGATTGACTCATGCTGGGACTCACTGGTGTTTGCCTTGCAGGGCTGTGTTAGATTTTACTTTTTGAAAGCTTCCCATCTTGTTTGGACTTGCACTGGAGCGTTTAGAGCTTAGAAAAAAAGACTGATCATTGGGGGGAGGGGCTTACAGTTGGATTTATTGTGTCAAATTCAATGAGTTTATGCCAGATTAAAAAAAGTAGAACGACATTTGCAGTTTGTTGCTGTGTAAATGAAGGTGCATGCAAATCAGTTTTAATATTTTTTTTACGAACAGCTAAACCCCACTCAAGATATGAAAGACTGTATCAAGTAATTTTCTGAATTTGTGTTAATTAACAAATTTAACTGCATTGCATCAGCACACAGCGCTGTGTCTCCATTCATAGGTTTATATCACATCGCTAAAGTTGTTTTTTCAAAGTACAACTTCATAAAATTAACTTTTAATAGAAAAACGCTAAAAGTAAATAAATAAAAAAGCATTAATAATTTGGGTTTAGCTTCAGTATCAGAACTTGTAACTGTGTTTTATTAAACATCTCATTGAAACAAAAGTTTCTTCAGTTAAGTTGTTTAACTTACATTTTTCGGTTCGTGACAAATTTCCAAACTCCGTCACTAAAATAAAAGACTATGCCGTTAAAAAAAAGGACCTTTGCCATTTTTGTTTATCTGTTTAATGTGTTGATGGCACAGTGATTTCTGCGATACGGTCGGATCAGATACTCAGATGCAGCCAAGGAKCACACCTTTAAATTTTGGTGATGTTCTGGATCACGATGCGGATACAGGATTTTTCTTTCTTTTAACACTCTGAGATGGGCAAAGCTGTGATGCTTTCACAGGG